CATTTCAGATGAAAATTAAAACATGGACTTGAATTTCAAAAGCACATCTTAGCTACTAGCCAAGTAATTTTTATTATTCAGGAGATATACCACACCATAAAATTTAGCTACCTGTTGCTGATGATACTTGTTCTGTGCAATTGCTTACAAAGCTCAGACAGGCTGGCTAATAGTCTCTTTTCCCTTCTATGTAAGGATGTAGAGTAGGAAAAATAAAAGTATTTAAATGACAATTATACAAGTCTATACATACTTTGTGCTGTGCCTGCATCACTGTATAATTGTAGTTGTGTATAATTAGTACAAGGATTTAACGCTGACAATGCTTTTTTGTCCCTTGAAGGTCAGAAATGGCAGCAATGTGCAATCACCACTGCTTGGCAGGTTCTGTGGAAACCTTGTGCCCAGTCCCATCTTCCCCAAAAATCATGTTGTCTACCTTCGTTTCAAGAGTGATATTTCAGTGGCACGTGATGGATATGAAATCACTTGGACCTCATCATCAAGTGGTAAGGCTGTAATAACAATGTAATTCCATTAAGCAGTTGTACACAGCAGGAAAACACAGAAAGATGGAATCCAGCCAGCTCAGGTGGGACCTTGACTTATTAACATCTAAGGCTTTTTCAAGCACCCATTGCCAACCCTATTCTCTAATTAGCAACCTCAGAGGATGTGTTCTACTTAAGCTGGAGGTCTACATCTTTCACCAAGAGGACAGAAAATACAAGGAACCTCTATCTTGGCACCACAGAGTAGTGGTGGTAGCAGTGACTCTGTCTACTTTATTGGTAGTTCATTTGTGATAGGCTGTAGGATCTAGGCACTGCTAAGCCTGAAGAGGACTGACGCTTGCCTCAGGAAAATAATGTATCTATAAAGCTGTGTAGTGACTGGGTGATAGACCTAGTCATAAATGGCATATGAAATGGGAATGAATAGCTGGATGACATAGCTTGCCCTTGACACTAACTTACTGGAGTGAGCTTAAGACCAGCAGCAAAGCACTGCAGAGTAACCCTACAGTATGCCTGATGCCCATGCTGTATTCTTCTCAGGCTGCTGACGCTACAGCCTCAGTTTTGTCTCGTTGCAATAATGCTCTTATCCAAATGCATTGTTCCAGTCCACAGTGTCTCTCTGTATTTCAGTGCTGCTGCTAACACTGTACTACATTGTGTAGTATCTTGTAAAACTAAGTCTTCTAAGCTAATTAACTGTGTCCATTTCCAGGATGTGGAGGAACATTATACGGCAGCTCTGGTACGTTTGCTAGTCCCAGCTACCCTGCGACTTACCAGAACAACACTGACTGTGAGTGGGCCATTACTGCACCCAAGGGACGGATTGTCACAGTGAACTTTGATTTCATCAGCATCGATGACCCAGGGGATTGCAGTAACAACTATCTGATCCTTTACAATGGCCCAGATGCCAGCTATCCCCCCGCTGGGCCGTACTGTGGGATGGTATGTATTCCCTACTGTCTGTGACCCTGTAACTGGTTAAAATGAATCTTTACCGTGTCATAATTAAGATTGTTTCCCTGATTTTGGCATGAGTTCCATACAGACTAGTGGAAGTGAAAGTGTAAGGCTTCTGTGGCATCTTAGCTTTTCAATACAGACCTTACAGTGACATCTAGTGGGTGGTATCATCAAGCGCTTTTTTTCTCTGAATTTAGTTGCTGTGTTTGTGATTTAAATATTTTTAACACCCTATGGAAGAAATGCAACAGCAGTATCTAGCACAGACCTGAGGTCCCTTCCCCTCTCTGAGCGGATTTGTACCTCAGCTTTAACATTATAATTGTATTTTTCTCAGAATCGTGCTGTCAGATAAAGATATTTTTTTCTTTTTTCTTTTTGTCTTTAATTTTAGGATACAAACATTGCTCCATTCACTGCTACATCTCATCAAGTCTATATAAAATTTCATGCCGAATATGTGACTTTACCATCAGGATTCCAGCTGAGTTGGAGGAGCTAAGACGTCACATGAGAAATACTTCACCGTTCCTTGGTATACTGAGGACACTTTAGATCATAAAATATGTTTGAAATCCAGTTATGATAATTGCAACTGAAGTAAGGCCTTTTAAAGATTGCTGTAAGTACAGCTGTTACGAATTTTAAAGTTCTGTCCCAAAAATGTAATCTTTCATTGTACTGTGAATAAATTATCTACCTAACTGTGAAAATGAGTTTTTGCCAGTTTTGAATCATATTTTTTTATTCTTCTATACTATTTCAAACGCTCTTGTAAACGTGTAAAAAGTTTTACAGTTAAGGTTAAAAAGTTAATTAGCCAGGATAAAACTTAAACACAAAATAGTCAACGTGAAATTGTTAAGAGGAGCTAAGATACAAGGTTGTCTTTAATTAGTTCTGCAGGGTAATGTGTTTTTGTCCCAAGCATCTTTATAAATCACAGAATTGTATAATCATTTAGGTTGGAAAGACCTTCAAGATCATCAAGTCCAACTGTGCTAGCTAAATGTCAGCTAGTTTTATTTGAACTAGAATAAAATACAGCCCCTGTCCTACAGCCATTTACACAGATAATTTCGTTGAAGAATCTTCTCTTATACTACTCACTGGGTGGAAGAACCTGGCTGAATAAAGTACTCAGGCATTCACTAAAGCTTAGCACAGCAAAGATGTGTTGTGTTACTAAACCATAACCACATCGAGAAGTGATGTCAGAGCCTGTTCAATATGCACGCATCTCTGTGATTATATTTACAGAGTTAGATCTTTAAGCTTCCAAATCTCTTTTACAACTGAATTTATAAAAACTTGTGAGACTTTGAGCAACCATGTCGCCTTCCTAGACAACTTGTGGGCCACATCCTAGACATTTATAAAACATATGACTTCAGAATAGGGCAAATATAAAAATACCGATTGACTTTTTACTAACATTATTGTGCCACTGCCCCAGCCTAACACACATCATATGTAACAAATGTTGTTGTTGGGGCGTACGGAGGACACTGGTTCACACAGTGAAATGAATCTCTTAAAATGATTGTTGCAATAAATGATGATAAGTGACATTGTAAGTGCTAATGGCAGTTCTAACAAAATCTCAGAATTCTTTGAAGATTTCCCAGTGAATGACAAAAAAAAAAAAAAAAAAAGGCATAATTCCACAAACAAACAGGATTTCGTAATCGGAGAGAAGCTATTCTGGTTAAAATACAATCCAGAAAACACAAAACAGACAAGGGCAAAAAGGTAGATGACACAATATAAAATTCAAGACATTTAAAATTCAGGAATTATCTGATTATGTCGTAGAGAGACCTGGCCAAGCAGACTAGATGTATGACAGCATTTTAGAATCTTCCAAGTACTAAGAAAAATCTGGCTTAGGTACAGACAATATGCCTGCTAACATGCTAAAGTACAACTTGGAAAAAGGAGAAATATCTGTATTTCTATCAAACTAGGAGACAGATATGTCCTCCTGACCTGCAGGCAGAACAGGAAATTAATATGGGAAGACATAAAAGAGCATGTAGTGGAATTAAACATTTTCACATTAGCAGCCAAAGAACTTTTGCTCAAGACTCCAAGCCAAACTGATTTCATGTTAGTAATCAAGGGACAATCCAAAATTTGACCCTAAATTTATTAAAAACAAAAAACCAAACCAAACCAAAACCAAACAAATTAAAAAAAAAAAAAAGCATAAAAGGGATTGCAGGCAGTAAAGAAAATACTTTCATCTAAGCTGCCTGGAGATAAAGCTACAAAACAAGCTCTGAATACAGGAACTTGTAAGACAATGCAGATACAGTCAAGCACTGCTTCAGCTGTTTGCCTGCTGAGATCAGGAAGGAGTTTACTTCTCCTAGTGGATGGCAGCATCATGGGACTCCATATGCGTCCATCGTGGTTTTGACCTTCCCGTGAATCACCGTGGGGTTCATGCAGTTCGTGCTGGGCTGAGTTCCCTCAGAGTCTGGTTGCTGTCTCTTGCTGCTAGGTGGATGGTCACAGAAGCATCAGATTTTAGGCACAAATAGGCCTGCCAAGAACACTGATTTTATATTATTTAATTATTTCAGCAGCCTGCTGCTCAGCTCACCTGGAAGCCATAGCTGAACTGGGAGGGCATCTCTCACCCCAACATCTCCTGCTGCCGCCGGGCAGTGCTTTGCAGTGCATTCCCTTCCCTTATGGACAATCAGTTCTTAGGCTAAACCTTGGTCTTGCCAAGAGCATGGCAGAGCATAAACTGAACAACACGATAGAAACCTGTACATGGTTGTGATGAATGAAGTTCATTAGTGGCTTATTGCAACTGATAGCAGTCACACATCCCACAGTTTATTTGACACAAAACTTGCTTCCCCGAGGAGACCGCTGTCCCACAGGTCGGCCTGCCACGGCTGGCCTACCTGTTGACTCTGCACAATATTGAGATTTGATCTGCGTGAGGCCAGCTCTGGCAATGCAACCTTTGGCCTGAAGCTCCTCAGGGGCACTGCAGTTAAACTGACGAGTGTCCTGTTGTTCAAAAAGTTTGGTTTTGTGAAAAATCATGTTTTGTTTTAAAGCTGGTGAAATGCTTTCTGACAGTTTCTTGATACAGATAAATACTTGGCCTTGGTATGACTTTCAGTCATAACACCAAACAAATTTTATGGAATCATTGAACTTCTGCCGAAAAAAAGAATGAAGAACATGATGAACGAGAGGACAAGAAAATTGTAAGATTATTATTATTTTTTTTAATCTGCTAATAATTAGTGCTTGGTGCATCTTTAAACATTACAACTACTCTAGATCTCTGCATAATTTTATATACACGTGAGTAAAATGCACGAGGTTCTTTAGAGAAAATGAAAGTCCAGCAGAGAATTCACGTCCACAAAGACTGTTGCATGAAGCTTCTGGTACAAAGTTCAATTGATCTGGCCCAACTGACTCTTGCCAAAAATAGTCAAAGTCTAAAATTAGAGTAAATTATCAAACCCATTCTTTCAAAAAAAAACAGGAACAAAGTAATCCACTACTGTCCTCTAACATCTTATATGAGGAACCACGAGAGAAATACCATTGCAGAACTATTAAAGTGAAGGTCCTTAAAGGAGAGAGCTCTTGCTAAGCCATGTTTCTGTCTTGCAAGGTAAGAAGTCATTTAAAATGCTTTAAAATGAATGCATGGCAAAAGCAAACAAATGAACTTTTTTTTTTTTTTTTTTTTTTTAATCTTCTCCCCTAAATCTGTTATTTGTAGTGTATAGTTCAGAAGACAAAATCTGTGTTTTATTTAATAAGATTTATGGCTTTGTTTCACAATACTGCCAGGAATGTCTTTGCTTTTATGTCTTTGCACGTTGCTGTCTATTTTATAGATCAAGCAATGGCTGTGAATACCACGTCTGCCTTTTAATACCTGCATGGTTACAAACCTCTCCGCTGTAAATGACACAGCACAGATAATGAACGAGTGTTTTCTATTTCCAGAGCGTGCATTTTTTTAACTGACGTGTAAATCTTCTGGATGTTACCATATCTATTTATTCTTCCATACAGACATTCTTTAGGAGGCAGTAATATATGAATGGCAAAAAGACTATGATTTGAAGAATGAGCACTAAAATGTCCATAACAGTATTTTTGAATTGCCCTTCTCATGTGGTGGGGCTATTCTTTATACACAGTAAATGAGAAGTAATAACAGAATGAGATTGTTAGGGCTACAGTTACTTGAATTAAAGGAGAGAGAAGATGTACAGCTACAATGCTAGAAAATATGGTGCTGGTCAATTTAAAACATTCGCCAATTGTAGTTACATTCACAAAGTATTTTGGCTAAAAAACAGTTTTCAGTTGGCTCATAAAGTAAAGGAGGAGGTGTCTCCGTTTACCACAGTAACTCAAGATAAGCATCCTGGGCACCAGAATTGAGATATTTCTTGTAATTATTTTTCTGTCAGCTGCCAAACTAAAACCACAGAATTATTTGGCAGTTCTGATTAAAAGGAAACGTAGTAAGAATTAATAGCATTGACTACTGTACAAAATAACAATAGCAACAATACAGGATTGCTAACAAATAAATGTTTAAAATTAAAATATCCGATAATAAAAATAGAGGCCAAATTCTAGAAGTCTGATTTTATAAGGCAAAATTCAGCAAATAAATAGTGTGCCAGTTATCACACCTAATTATTCTAATTTTGGTGGATAATTTTCTACCAGCAGTGCCTAGCAATATACAACTGTTTTTGCCGATGCACATTGATGTTGTTTTGACTACATGCTACCCTTGCATTAAAAGTGACTGCTACAATAGGTGGTTTTTATTTGGAGGGGAAAAAAAAAAAAAAAAAAAGAGTATTTATTTATCTATTTATTTATTTTTTACTGGATAGCACAGTGAGACACAAATAAGGTCACACTGGAGAAGCCTTCACTGTGAGCCCAACATTTGGGAAGGTCTCCAGCTGGCCAGCCTGTAGCTAGGGATACTTGGGTTCGGGGGGCTTAAAGGAAGAATTGGATATGCTCAGGTGCCAGGGAAAAGAGAGGAGATGGAGGGTTACTGTAGGGGCACAGGCCCTCTTCAGGAAATTAGCCTTCATCATTACTACTCCTACTGGGAGAACCTGAAAATTAAGCTTTCAAGATCAGGGAATGGCCAGACACTTGGCCAGCATGTCATGAATACTTGCTTTCCACTTCTTCTCGTCCAATTGGTATGTAGTGCTTCATGAGCAGCTGAAAATCTTTAAAATGAAGGCTGGAAAGCATCACCTCTTTGTCAAATCCAGTGCGGCCCTCACTGGGGTATGCATGCATTAGCGTGTTTGCTCATTTGGGAGGTTTGCTGAAGCAGTCACCAAAGCAGACCCAAAGCTGCGACTGAAACATGATCTGTTTGCAAAGAAGACGGTAATGAAATTACTGGGACAAAGAAAAAGAAAGCAGTCCTGACAAAAGCCAGTAAGGGGAATATGTTTATTAAAAAGGGAGTAATTAAATACTCCTACAATAGGGATTGAACGTGGACATTCAGGGCATGTGGAATGTAACATGTGGTTGTTTTATCACTGCATATGTGGGGCAGCAGAAGCCAGGTGAGCTGGTGAGCCGTAAAGACACAGCCTGCAAGCACCTTGTCACAGGGGCTTGCTCTGTTCGTTGGGGTAGGGAAACTGGGATGTTATTTTACAGACGATGAATCTGGATAAGCCTTTGCTACTAAATGAAGCCTGACTGTCCTTTATGAAGGAAGAACAGTCAATATGCTGGAAGCTAACTCCCTGAGGCAACTGACTGGCGGCTATCAGGCGCTTGGTTACATGCGGAAGTGGTGCAGGTTCTCGTCCTGCAGATGAAGAGGAACATTGCTGGCTTGTACATCACAGTGACTGATGTGCTGCCGAGTGATCTAGATAAAGGGAAGTTCCTCCAGCTGTGTTTTGTCGGGCAGACCTGAGAGCAGCCCGTAACTTCAGGGAAGGGCTGGAGGCAGTGCGAGCCACTTAGAGGCTACTGCAAATTAAATCATTTCTAAAAAAGGAAACACTGACGCTACCCCCACAGCAATGCCAGGCCAGCGTTTGCTGGTTACGGCACCTGCCCTTTTACACCCTGGTTTCAGTGAACATCACTTTCAATAACTCTTCCAGTGCATGTTATTTGTAATAACCCCGCCGCCCTGTGCAGGACGCCCCCGGCCAGGGGCTGCCGGCGCCAAGATGGCTCCGCCCTGAGGCGCGCCCCGCGGCTCCTTCCCCTCCGCGAAATGGCGGCGGTCGGGGTGCCCCCGTTAACATCCCTGAGGCGCTGCCCAGGTGCTGAAGCTGAGCAAGGGCCCCTCGCAAGCCTTCCTCACACCCTCCTCCTCTTCCTCTTTTTCTTCTTCCTCCTTCTCACCCCCCTCCCCTTCCGGCCGGGCGGGGCCGGGCTCGGCAGCAGGGCTGGGACAGGGAACGGGAGCAGGACGGGGACCAGGAGCGGGGGGAGCCGGGCAGCGCCGTGAGTGGCCGCGGGGGCTGGGCAGGGAGGGTCGGGGGGCGGCCGGGCTGTGTGTGGGGGGCACCCAGCCGGAGCCTGACGGTGTTCGCGTCCCGCCCAGGCCATGTCCAAGTCGCTGAAGAAGATGGTGGAGGAGAGTCGGGAGAAGAACCAGCCCGAGGTGGACATGTGCGACCGCGGCGTCTCCAACATGCTGGACGTGCCCGGGCTCTGTACGTACAGCGGCGCCGCTGCCTTATTTGTACCTTGCGGCCGGGCCCCGGCACCCGCTTAGTTAATGCCAAAGGCGCTTCCGAGCGTCTAGGGCAGGCACGGCCAGGCCAGCAGGATGGTCCCTGCTGCTCTCAGTTGCTAATGCGGCATCTGAGCCTTGTTTGGCAGCGAGTTTATTGCATGAAGTGTGGGCTCGGGGTGCCCTAACTCATATCCGTCAAATGTTGCAGTGCGCCTGGCTTGGTTTGTTTTAGCATGGGGGGCTGGAGACTGTCACCCTGAGATCAAACTGAGGGGAGGGGAAATGATGGCTGCTTTCCGTCCAGGTAGTCCAGACCTTGCTTTTTCAGTGACTCTGCGCTCTGACTGATTTGTAAGGGTTTATTTTTGGTGTGCTTTTCGTATTTCTGTCGAGGTGTTTGCCTGGAGAAGGAATAACTTCCTCTGAGTATGCTTTTAAAGAAGTAGTGAGTAGGCATTGCGACTTATGGCTTGTAGGTGATGGTTTGAGGTGTGGAAGCGGCTTGTTTCCTGGCCCTGCCACCTGGCTCCTAAGGGGTGAACTTCCCTGGCAGAGCAGTGTCTGGGCTCCTTGGGCTCTCTGAACTGGCAGGGAAGATTCAATGGGTCTGGTCCAGCACCTCTCCTATTACGGGTGCTGAATCTCTTTCTAGCAGAGTTACAGCTTGCTGCTTCAGAAACTGATTTTTCCACGACATACAAATAAGAATAGTGATTCATGCCCAGTGAATGGCCTTTCCTAGCATCTTGTCTTTAATGAAAGCCCCTCGTAGACGTTTAGAGAAGACTCTAACATTAGGTTAGCATCAGAGAGAGCATTTCAGTGGTGTTTCCTCTCTTTTTAGCAATTTGAGGTTTAAGGACTTACTAGACTGGAGGATATTCCTGAGTTATGTTCAATAGCTGCTGGTAGGGATTTTGTGTCATGAAATTACTTCACTGTAGTCGGTCCTGCCCCACCACCCCAAGTGGACACTGATTTTCTTCAAGTAAGCTGCTCTCTGTAGTCTTGGTTGCTTTTCAAGAAAAATGCCAAGCCTTGTCCCACTGCACATTTGAGTGCTCAGAGCAGAGTGCTCAGTGAACTTGTGTTTAAACTTCCTTAATTCATATAAAGTAGATGCAGTCACACAGCGACTGGGAAGTACCACTGCTCTGTGTGCAAATCCTATTCCTTCAGGTACGGATCTATTCTTGTCGTGTGTGTATAAAAACCAAAAATCTTCAGGGAGTATAGAAAATTGATGTAATGCTGGGGAGGGAGAAGAAGAAGGGAAGAGGACAATATGCAATGGCTTGGGTAGGACTCCTCTGGCTTTTCTGGCTCTTCTTCCTAGGCTAGTGACTGACTTGCTCCAATACAGAGCAGCCACTTCTTCTTTTTCTTTTTTTTTTTTTTTTGGCCTTAACTCCCACCCTTTGGGAAGAAAGTTGCAGGACAGACAAAATCAAGCATTTGCCTCTGTCAAAAGTCGGTGTGTTGTATTTTTTTTTCCCAATTCAAGAGGAAATACTTCTCCTGTGTGGATGGAGATTGACACTCAATGTCTTAAACTAGCTTAGACCTCTGCATCTCTTCCTGTTTTCATCTTTAGTAAAGGGAATGTTGAGTTGTCAGCTCATTCATATGTTATTATTCAGATTCACAAAGTTACGTTCAGTGGTCCCTGAACAGCTGCTCACTCAGGAGTTCATTAATGCCATTACTGGTCATGACATCTGTTTTTGGAGTATTCTTCAAATCCAGGCATTTCAGTGTTTTCTCCTAGTTGTAATTGAAGTACAAGTTGGAATCGTGCTACAGGCCTTCAGAGCGAGCATCTGGACTTTCCAGACTTTCAGAAATGTAAGCGAGAAATCTCTTTTCAAAGATGCAGCAGAGTAGTTCTGTAGGAAAGAGAGTTCACCTGAGATGTAAAGTGTCCCTTGACCTAGGTGTTCTGTAATTTTCATTCATCATGCTAATGCAGGTGAAACAGTTTTAAACTTTAAAGGCTTTTTATTATTCTGGTATGCAATAAAACAAGTGTTGTGGCCATTAACACATTTATACTATGTTTGTGCATCCATGAATAGTTTTAACACATCTTGCCTTGTGAAAATGTTCGTTTTCTTTTTTTAATTCTCTGTTATGGAGTGAGTAGATTGTATTTGTTTATGAAACACACAGATATCGACAGGTAGAGACAAAGGGGGTTAGCAGATGTCCTGTAAGGTGAATAATCTGATTAAGCAGGCAGGATATGATGCATCTTTTGCCTGGCTATGACACTTATTGTTGGGACTTCAAGCAGTCATCTTGAATTAGGGAATTGTTCTCGTTGCAAGGAGCAGTCTCTAATCTCTGATTTATTTATTTTTAAGTGGTGGATGTGGGGAAGCTATGAATTATTTTGCTCAAATAACTCAGGACATCTGCTGCTCTGTAGCCTGGCTGCTAGGGAAGGAATATTGGACGAAATCCTATTTACTCTGTAAGTGTTAATTTGTTCTCATTATTCCATCTGTAAGCTATTCATATTTCACATAAAGTACGCACGTACGTGATGGAATTAATATGGCTGGAATTTTTTACCAAAAAGTTTGTGTTGATAGAATTGTTCACTCCTAAAATAACCAAGGCCCAGGAGATGGAGTGGCAGGCTGCTTGCAGGTTGTTCAGTACAAAGCTGTAGTGCTCCTTCTGTGTTAACTTCCTCCAGTGCGAGAGGCAGCATCTTATCTTCATCCAGCAAGGTCTCTGGAGTCTTCCTGTAGTGTTTTTTTTTTCTTCCTTTAAAAAAAAAAAAAAAAGAAGTCAAGACTTGTCATCTACATATTTCATGGAAAGGCAGCTTGTGGTACATGGAAGCAGCATATGAAAAAGCTGGATGCTAGGACAACAAGATCAGAGCGCAGATGTTCTTTTCCTGTTGCATTTTGAAGCAATGGTGGGATTGGGACCATGACGGGAATTTGTAACTACCATGTGCGTAAATTGCCCTGGCAAATGTTAATATCCTCTCCCTCAAACTTCTGTGGGGACACGTGGTGTGTTCTTGAAATCAAATTAATTCATCTCCTGTATGCAAAGTGCTGTTATGTTAGCACGGCCTCTGAGGGGTGCCTCCTTCAAAGACCTGGTTCTTAGCGTTTGCAGTGGTGTCGTACAGAAGCTACAGAAAAAGTGCAAAGGTTCTCTTGGAATTACCTGTTCTTGCAGCTTGGTTTGACTTTCCAGTCTGTAAGTGCCATTCAGTCTGCCTGTTGCAGATTTCTGCCAAGCAGCAGAGGAGCAGAGCTCCCACCTGCTCGGAGTTGCTGTCCTTTGTGCTCGTGATGAGGTGCTGGCTTTCTAGTGTGGAGCTGAGGTGCTGATAATTGTCCTATTCAGCCACTGCAGTTTTAAGTCTTCTCAGCTTTAACAAAAATAAAATATTAAAGTGGGAGCAACTTTGCACAGAATCAAAGAAGAAATAAATAAAAGGATTCCTTTTGAAAAAGCAGATTACACCAAATCTTCACTTTCCAAAGCTTTTGTCATGAGGAGGGCGAAGGAGCAAACATTTCAGCATCCCAAATCTTCAGAGCAAAGCTGGAATGCCAGCTGGTGGTGCTGGGGCCAGCAGTGTGAGCCCTGCTCTTTCAGTGCTCCACAATTCAGCCTTCAGAGCAGTGTTTATGGTGTTCGTACTGTTCATGCAGGTAGGTGCAGTGTTGGTGAGTTGATGAAGTCAAGTCTGAGGATACAGATGAGCTGGGGTACGCTGTTACCCCACATCTGGCTCTGATCTAGGTCAGGTTGATGTGGAGCTGGAGGTGTTCAGCTGAAGCACTCTGCGTCTCAGGAGGCTGACAGAGGGCTTGCCCAGGAAGGACCGTGTCCATACTGCTCAGGCCTGGATGTTCAGGGCCCGTGAAACTTTGGCTTTCAGTAGTTGTCACAGCTATTACAATTCCCAAACCAAAAGAAAGAAGTGCTGCAGAAGCAGTACTTAAACATTTGCTCACAAGCTCGTAACCGCCTCCAGCATTTCAATTATTTTTTTTGTAAATTGACCTGGTCAGCTGTAGGTCTACAGTCAGTAGTTTAAGGAGCTGCTTAGATGCTGATGCTGAAGTGCCCTTCATGTTTTAAAGCTGAGTGTTCTTTCAGGCTACTGTACTTGGCTGCCCTATAGTGCTGGTTCTTATATGATGTTCTTACAGACTTCCTATGGGCTGCTTTCTGTCCTACTGCGTGACCTCTTTGAGGCACTACTTAGAGAGTGCTTGTATTTAAAGAGATACTGAGGGTGGATGCACTGCTTTCCTTTCTGCTCCCTGCCTTTCCTTCCTCCACAACCTGCACAGGGAACTGTGGCAATGCATTTTTTTTTTTTTCCCAATGATCTTTCAGTTCTGTTTCTGCCTTTGAGTGACTGCATTAGTTCTGCTATGGGCTTACATTTGCCTGTGTTAGTGATGCTTAGTGCTTCTGGGAATTGCTGAGAGGTGCAGCACTACAGCTCTCCTTAGGGACAACTTCCAGGCTGCTCAGGAGGGGCAGCCCTGTCGTTACTAGAGCTTTTTTAGAGACTGCGCTGGAAGTAAGGAAGAAGGTGTAGGGGAGGAAAAAAAACCTTTTTTTTCTAGTTCAAAGCACATCAGACTTTTTGCAGGGAGAGGGAAGATGTTTAACAATGTCTTCAAGGTGTGGGTTTCTCCTCTGGCTCTTTAGCATGTTGTTCTGGCCTGGTGATGTTGATTGTGGGCTGTAGAGCCTCTAGGGGAAAAAGCAGCAGGGGTGTGGGAATGACAGTAAGCAAGAACAAACACAGGTGAGGGTGCATAGTGGGGAATACCAGACTGTAGCTGCCCCAGCCCCATACTTACTGCTCATTAAGTAGGAGTACGAGGGGCTGGGATCAATCAGATCATTCAGGCCATTTCAGTAAATATCTGGAGCTTGTCTTGATATTCGTAATAGTGCCTATGATCTGGGGTTACTAGAGCAGGAGAATAACATGTTTTTTAGCTGGAATGGGCCATTGCTGTTCATAAACTAACTTTTTTCTCTCTTCATTTACAGTTACCTTGTCTCATATCACGCAGCTGGTTCTCAGTCACAACAAGCTTACCAGTAAGTATACTCTGCTTTTCTGACTTTGCTGCAGGCTGTTAAGCAGCATTTAAAAGCTGCCACTACTGGTTTGTTTTATAGAGCACAGCAGCACTGCTAAGAGGGTGAGATTCTTGGTGAGGCGTTTTACCTAAATAAAAAAAGATTGAGGATGTGAATTAGCAGATGCATTCAACGTGCCTTTCTAACATCAATACAGGTCAGCCGTGTACCAGAAGATCGGTGATTTTCAGTTGTGTTACCAGCTAAGTCAAAAAATCCATTTGCTGCCACAATTTTCAAGTTTTACCAACTTTTTTGAACTGCAGTTCCTATTTGAGTAGAAGGATAATTAAGAAGCAAGTGAAAGCAAACTACAGCTCAACTGCATTGTGTCTATAACCAAATGCACGTGAGGAAGGCCAACTGAATGTGAGCTTCAGGCATGAAAGTCAAGTGTTCTGCTGTTGGCAACAAAAAAAAAAAATCTTTTGAGTGTAAACTGTCTCTTGGCTGTACCGCACACACCTTCAGTTACTACCTTCTGGGTACTTCAGTTATCACTTCCCATAGTAAAGACGTCTCAGCTGAGGTGTTGGTGAATATCGTATCATGAGAGAGAGGTGATGTGAGACTGAACTTAATGGAGCGGGATATCAGCCAGCCTCTTGTGAGGCAAAATTAAATTATTTCTTTGTAGGAGCAAGCTTCAGGCTTACCTGTTTGTGTGTTGTGCAAACATTCCGACTTCTTGGGTGTTAAATACAAGAGTGAGGTTCATATAGACCCTGCTACTGTGTATCTTGTAAAGAGAAGAGAAGTTCTCTTTTTTTGATGTTCTGTTTGTCCGTGTCTGTTCTCTGCACATATCAGTGGATGTCAATCTCAACCACTCCTCTGCTTTTTGGAACTAATTTATTTATGAGTGCATGAAATGGGGAAGGGAGTGGAACTGCCAAAGAGCGTTTGTTGGGGAGAAGACCGGGCAGTTCTGTAGCACGCACCAGCCTATGCTCTGCGTAAGTTTTACAGGTTGAGAGTGGGGTGTAAAAAGGTAAAACAAACCCATCAAGTTCTAATCCATTTGCTGCATGAACTGTAAGATTGTGTGTGTTACTTAAAACATGTGTTAATATGAAAATCTAGCTTAAGGTTTTGAGCATTTTCATAAGCATGAAGAAAGTAAAAATATTCTTAGGTTCTACCACATGAACACTAATTCTTTGGTTGCAGCGAATTGGTCATTAATGCATAGCTTAAAGGGTTTGAAGTAGTAGTACGAAATAGGTAAAATTATGGGCAGTGTATGAGTAGCTGTGAGAAATACGAAGTAGTTACTCCAGGCCCTATTCCTGACTGTATAGTGTCCTCTAGACTGGTATCTCGCCAGTTTTTGTCCCTATTTAAAAAATAAAACAATAAAACCCTCTTACATTTTTGAAGAACTTTTGATTTGCACTGGTCAAATTTATAAATAATTGATGACTGATGAGTGAGTTCACAGACGAAGTACGGGGAGGAAAACTGTAAGCATCGTTACTAAACACACAGATCGACCTGTAGTTTAGAATCACAGAATCACAGAATTTCTAGGTTGGAAGAGACCTCAAGATCATCGAGTCCAACCTCTGACCTAACACTAACAGTCCCCACTAAACCATATCCCTAAGCTCTACATCTAAACGTCTTTTGAAGACTTCCAGGGATGGTGACTCCACCACTTCCGTGGGCAGCCCGTTCCAGTGTCTAACAACCCTTTCAGTAAAGAAGTTCTTCCTAACATCTAACCTAAAACTCTCCTGGCGCAACTTTAGCCCGTTCCCCCTCGTCCTGTCACCAGGCACATGGGAGAACAGGCCAACCCCCACCTCACTACAGCCTCCTTTAAGGTATCTGTAGAGAGCGATAAGGTCGCCCCTGAGCCTCCTCTTCTCCAGGCTGAACAAGCCCAGTTCCCTCAGCTGCTCCTCGTAGGACTTGTTCTCCAGGCCCCTCACCAGCTTCGTCGCCCTTCTCTGGACCCGCTCAAGCACCTCGATGTCCTTCTTGTAGCAAGGGGCCCAAAACTGAACACAGTACTCGAGGTGCGGCCTCACCAGAGCCGAGTACAGGGGGACGATCACCTCCCTAGCCCTGCTGGTCACAGTGTTTCTGATACAAGCCAGGATGCTGTTGGCCTTCTTGGCCACCTGAGCACACTGCTGGCTCATATTCAGCCGACTGCCCACCATCGCTCCCAGGTCCTTCTCTGCCTGGCATCTCTCCAACCACTCCTCTCCCAGCCTGTAGCTCTAAAGGTTACAAATAGCTGGAAGTGAGCAACTGTTTCGGGGAAATGTTATGATAAACTTCAGGTTATTGCTGTGTGCTGTCTGGTATCAGCCACTGATGGAGCTGGGATACTGGCTGCCCAGCCTGGCGGCGTTTGTGTTCCTGCAGGGTCACAGCAAGGAGATGCCTGTCTCTGAACTTGAGCTGCCTAAAAGTTAAGCAGGTAATCGTATCCTGCCACTGAAGCCTTCTCTGCAGCTTTTGGAGGGTTGTGAGCACCTTGAGACAGCAGTTCGTTCTGCTCATCTCTGTCTAAAACCTGCGTGATGAGGTCAGATAACGTTGGGCTAAGTGAATTGTACCTAGAGCTGCCAGGCAGAAACTCTCTGCTGCTCATTGTCTGCTCTGATATCTTCTGAATGACCGTGTGTATGGCACAGGGGTGAAATGGGTTGTGAACATTACTGTCCGCAAGTTGAACCAACGTAAGACTTTTTTTTTTAATTGTACAACTTTTGAAGCTAATATGCTTTTAAGAGACTTGATTGTTTCTTCCCTGTGGCACCTTACAAATCTGAAGTGTAGCTGGACTGGCTGGGTATGTCGCAGATAGCTGTTGTGCTCTGAGGAAGAGAGGGCAGGCTGGATCTCCCAGCAGAGAGACTCAGATCAGGGTAAACGTGCCTGTCTGAGAATTAAGCCAGGAGAGGGTTGACATACTTAAGCATAAGTGCCAAAATTATAAGGTAAGTAAGCAATCTATATCCTAGTTAGAAGTCTTAGCTGAAGACCTGACTTAGGGGAGGAAGAAGATAAGAGGAGTAAGAGGAGTATGTCAAAAAAGGATACTTTCAGGTTTTCTTTATTCAAGAAAACTTGAGACTAGGCCACTTTTCTTTTTAGAAATAGTTTTGGTTTTCAAAATATCGATTTAAGGGCTGCACTACTCTAAATCTGTATTCTATTGAATTTTAAATTGCTTGAGTTTTAAATTGCTCCTTTCATCTAAAGTAGCCCTTAGATCAGCAGGCTGCAAGGATACCTGGTCTCTCAGCCAAGGGATTCTGTCAACCTATCTGTGTTTGGATTTCTTTTATGGGAAGGTAAAACCACTGCTTCTCCTGAGAAGTAACTCGTCAAGTCTGAAGCTTCCTATTCTTTCAAACTGATGTAAACACTTAAATAGACAGCACACATTTTAAAAAGGCTAAATTTCAAGTTTATAGTCTCGTTTTTGACACTGTTGACCTAATCTTTTAAGCTATGTAATTAATTGTCTTAGCAGATTGCTCTTAAAATGGCTAGGAAGCTGGTGGCAGTGACACTTGACATGCTGCACTAAGGTCATATTAGCATCTTCTACTAGTTTTCTGCCATTTAAATGAGTGTTCTGCTTGCTGTTTTTTCTGCTGTTTAGAGTAAATATGTCTATCTGGAAGAAAGAATATATGTAAAAACTGGACATGCATATTTTAATGTAACCATATTTCATATTTTTGCCAGCAAACTATTAGAAGTAAGTGAAGTTTTGTTAACAAGTTTGAAGATAACACCAGTAGATCCATCATACTGCTTAGAATTTTTTTGTGGCATGCTTTTTCAGTAATATTTTTAGTACTCCATTCATGCTGCTGGTGCTTGTGCATTTACCTCTCTGTAAATCGTTCTCTGTTAGAAGTACTCAAATCCACACTGATTTTTCTGGAGGATATTAGACTGGATGTTTTCCAGCTGCCCGGTGCTGTGCTAATGCAGGAGTCTTGAACTGGCTGCCTCTGCTCCAGGTAACTTACGAAAGAGTTGCAATTATGCTTTTGCTGCTTGATGAGAACCCTTTTCTTGCAGAACAGCCTCAAAATGGGAAGCAAAACTCTAGGGGAAGCTGAATAACTGTTCCTGCAGCTCTGTTGAACCAGTTGCTGTGTGAGTGACAAACCTGGGATGATTCCATTTTGGGGTCTCTTGTGACAAACCAGTTGAAAGCAGAGGGAGAAAGCAAGTACTTGTCTTTTTTTTTTTCCTTAACTTAGACATATGGGCCAGTGTGCCCATATGTTACAGTGGGAGTTTTTTGTTCCATCATTTAAAGCCAAACCATCTATCCACTGTACAGCTGAGAAGCAGAATTGAGGAGTCATGCTTGTGCTGTCTGCCTGTATGGGTTTTCTGGTCTGACCCTGGCATGTCTTGAACCCGTTGGCTGACACCAAAGTAAAATGGCATAAAAGTCCTGACAAATATTCCCCAAATCTGTGTAAATCAGTGGGTGAATGATGGAGTCCTTCAGTGTGGACATGTTAATTTGGGTTAGGTGCGACGTAAGTTGTCTTTGTTCCCTAACGTTTGTTGGGAGCTGGGGACATAGAGGTGTCACTATCCCTGCACAGGGGGATAGCTACCAGAGCACGGGTGGTGGCAGGGATTGAGACAGGCGTGTTGGAGGGGGAAGAAGGGGGCTGGAGCCACAGGATAGGCTTCTGTGGAACCATGCCTGAGCAGGCTGGCCAGGCACAAACACTGTTCTCACATCTGTGTACTAACTTGTTAGGGTACCCAAACAAAACAAACTTTGTGCTACATCGCTCAAAGTGAAAGCTTGTGGTTTCACAGCAGTTCTGGGGGGCCATTGTTAGGAATTAAATAAGGAGGTGTCCAGGGGAGCGCTGGTTGGGGAGAGGGCACATGCTGCCAAGGCTGGGCATCTTTTCTCCTCTGTGACTCCACCTGAGTCATTTCATGCAGAACGTTTT